GTTGGGGGGGCGGCCTTCCTCTAGACAGGTGGGGAGGGGGGCCGTCTGAAGGAGTGTGGCTGCTGTCTCCTCTCTCCCACACCTCCAGCTGCGGATAACATCCCTATGGGCTGTCTCTGTGAGCTGGAGAGTGACTGGTGAGGTGGATCACGAGGGGACCATTCCAACAGGTGGCATGGAGCTGGAAACGCTGTGTGGACACACTGAGGCTCACCTGCAGTAAGTTCACCTGGCTCCCAGGCCTGCTACACTCACTCAAAAAAATATATATAAGGCGTCCATCCGGAGCCTTGGATCATGGATCAAAGAATGGGAAATGAAGGGCTGTTGACTCTCCTCAAACCAGGGGACAGAAAGAGACCTGAGGAGCCCTGAGGTGCTATGTGAACACAAGCACATCAGGCATGGGTACAAGGCTGAAAGGTTGCTTGGTTATAAAAACATTTGCCTTGCACTCTTGAGGAACTGACTCAATCCTCCCAATCCATGTGGCACCCACAATCCCAGTCCTGGAGGAGATCGAGTTCACTGGCCAGCCTGTCTAGTCCTATTGGTGAGCTCGGGGCCAATTAGAGACCTTTTTCCACTGAATTCTCCAGTGTGACATATCGTAAGCAGTCCTCTGGCCCCCACAGGCATGCATGTGCACCAGCATGGCCACACAGAGCTGCATCTTTACACAAGCTGGCACATGCTCATACATGCATTTTCTGTTTTAGTTTTTGTGTGCATTGGTGTTTTGCCTGCATTTATGTCTGTGTGAGCGTGTCAGATCTCGGAGTTACAGACAGTTGAGGGCTGCCATGTGGGTGCTGGGAACTGAGCCCTGGGTCCTCTGGAAAAGCAGTCAGTGTTTTCAACTGCTGAGCCATTTCTCCAGCCACCAAACATGCATTTTTCAAAAGTGCCAGACTGGAGAAATGCCTCAGCCATTAGGTGCTGCTTGCTGCTCTAGCAGAGGCCCCAAGTTTGGTTCACAGAATCTATATGGTGGCTTACAATCATTTGCAACTCCAGTTCCAGGATACCAGATGTCCTCTTCTGGCCTCTGAAGGACACCATGTAGACACGTGGGGTGTACATACAAGCATGCAGTCCAAACACTTGTCCATGTAAAACAAAAATGCACCCTTAAAGCAAATGCTTGGGAAGAGACTTTAAACTGCAACACTTTCTTCATGAATTCCTTGGAAACATTTGGCATTGGTTCTACTGCTTACCAAGAATAGCAGGAACTTTAGCTAACTTTAATTACAATCACTCGAGATTTGTTTTAATTTACTATTAAATTATTTTTATTATCTTGGGACATGAATACTTACCCGCCAGGGGAGATTCCATGATCGCATAGATGGTTTTCCCAGGGCGAGGCTTGCCCATTGCACTCTGGATGTCCTGACCTCTGCGATTTCCCCAAATGTGGGAAACTCAATTCATAATACGTGGTAGTGGGGGACTGTGTGCATTCTCTCCTCTGAAAAAAATAAACACTTTTTAACATTGTAAAATAAGCAGATCTCCCTAACAGGGCATCCCACAAACTATATCCAGAGTAGACAGACCATTTTGGAAACTTATTTTTCAACTCCTAGACCAGTTTGCACAATGTATAAATGGAATTACCCTTTCTTGTGTCTGTTTGTGTGGGGAAGTGTTCTTACTTTTGTTTTGCAATGAAGTGCAAATCCCAAGTGTGACAGACAATATGGCTGCTGAGAGGGTTTAATTGGCACACTCTACTCTCAAGTGCAATTTGGAAGTATAATTTAATCTCTAACGCTGTCTTCTTCCTTGCTGTAGCCGGTTATTATCATTGTAGCAAGAATTTGAAATGCATAACTGTTCAGAAACTATCTGAATTTTGGGGAGGTTTGCAAAAAACGAATAGTGAGTCTCCCTCAGCCCCGATGGAACTGAGCTGTGTCTAACAGTGAATGAAAAAAAGCTGGGCGTTAGAGTCAGTTCAATGAGGCCCAAATTCCTCTCTCTGTCACACACCGACTTGTTTGTAAGAAGTCATTTACTCTCTCTTCCTCTCCACGTCTTTCATATCTAATCTCTCCAATGAAAGGAATAGTGAATATTAATTACTCAATTGATATTAACTGATATTAATATGACCTATGTGAATTATGGGTCATGTTATGTGCTGACAGGTGTCCATTCTTGTCTTTGGGACAATCAAACTTAATGGAAAAATCAACCCTGATCATGAATTGCAAAGACTCAGTATTGTTAAAGATCTTGGGTTTTGCTCAATTCATTTATAGTTTGGATCCAGTCCTAATGGAAATTCCAACAAGCTGGGTTGTTTTTTGTTTTTTGTTTTTTTTTAATTTTGACAAACTCATACAGCAATGCAAAAAACCTAGAGTACAGAACAGTTTTCATAAGAACAAAGCTAGAGTATCTACCAAACCCAGTACCAGGACTCCTAAAGCTGTCTGAGTGAAACAGTTGCGTAATATACAAAAAGAACATGTCTAAACGCTGTAAAGGGGTCTAGAAATAGGTTCTTATGCATGCATCTGGTCTGTTAAGTTTTAACAAAATATAAAGATAATATAAAGAGGGAAATGAGGCTCAATAATCAGCATAGTAGTGCTATTGGCTCAGCAGAGTCCTCTTTCAGGACTGAAGAGGTGGCTTGGGGGACAAGAGAATTTATTGATCTTGCAGAGGGCCTGAGTTCAGTTCTCAGAACCACATAGCAGCTCTCAACCAACTCTACCTCTGACATCATAGGATCTGGCACCCTCTACTGGTCCTGCAGGTGCCTGCACACGTGTGGTACACAGGATCTCATTCGCTCGCGCGCTCTCTCTCTCTCTCTCTCTCTCTCACACACACACACACACACACACACACACACACACACACACACACACACACACCAAAAACAAATCTTTAAAAATAGAAATAGTCAGGATATGCTGGCATGAAGTCAAAAGAAAAACATCTTTGGTACCAGAGTCAAATATCTGGGTGGACATTTCTGGAAAGCAGGGAAGAAGTAGGAAAGAGAAGCAGTTCTGATTCAGTCAGTCAGTCTTGCGTTTACCATGTTATAAGTATGTGTTCCTGTGTTCCTGAACTGCTGATGCATCATTCTCAAAATAAATAAATAAACGTGAGCACATTCATACACACGAAACATATCATACTAATCCTATGGATGGCTATTCCAAAAAGTAAGCTTTGGAAATATTATAAATCCCCAAATTTCCATTTTAAGTTAAGATTTTGTGTTCATTAGTGTTGCTAGGAAGTGCAAACATATTGTTTGAACATTATCCAATCCCAATCAACTCCGCTGCATTTTCCAGGCACACATTGCATAAGAGTAATTTGGTCAACAGCACATGACATAAAAGATGGTGGTTCCATGAGATGAAAACAGAGCCAGAGAGTCCCCATAACCTAGCGATACAGCCACCATAGCAATTTAGCATCTCTTGGGATGATGCGGGCATGAACAAGTTGGCTCTGCTACCAGTCACACAAAGCGTCAGCACACTGATGTGTATTGTGCACGACACCTGTGGTGGTTTGGGAATGCCCTCCAGAGGCTCATGGATTTGGACACTCGGTCCCATTTGGTGGCATTGTTTTGAGATTTATGAGCCTTGCTGGAGGAAGTATGCCAGTGAGGGCAGGTTTTAGGAGTTAAAACCTTGAACCTCTTCCAGTTTGCTCTTTCCACTTGATGCTTACGGTTCATATGTGAGCTCTGGGCTCCATCCCCAGCTGCCATGCCTACCTGCCACCTCCACCGGGCTACCGTGGACTCCTTCTGAAACTAAGACTCAAAGTAAACTCTTCTCCAAGTCACCTTAGCCATGGTGTTTTATCACAGCATGAAATAGAAAAGCAACTAATACCGCATCCGAGAGTGATAAATGACTAAGTTGCTGTCGTTTACAGTTTATTTCTACTGTATTTTGGAGTATATTATATTTTTGAAGAAAAGATGACTGTAAAATATACTTAAGAGGACTCCCCTTGGTGGGATTTCCAGAGAGGGAATCAATGTCAGAGGCAGTGGCAGCTCTGGGCATGTTGCTGCCCTTGAAAACCGTCTGGTAGGACAAGGTTCTCAAGTGAGGTAAAGAAAATGGTGATCTTGACCTTATATAACCCTGGGCCCAGGTGTGGTTTTTTGTCTTCATTTTTAACAGAAAGTAAACAACAACAACAAATATGACACGGCTTGTAAGGGTGTAGAGAAAACGTTTTGTTCAACTATACAGAAGCTTGCCATTATTTTACTACTGTCAAGATTTTGCACAGTTTCCTTCTTTTAATTACTTTTATTATAAATGACTACAAAATAGTGATATTATGTGTGACTGAAATGCAGTCTTTTGCATAATTTTTATTTGATTTCCGAGACTATCATATATGTGTACAATATAAAGATCATATCCATCCCTCCATTTCCTTGCTCACCCCCCAACTCCATGTTCTCTTCTTTGTCATCTTTGTGACTCACTGAGTCTTAACTAGTGGTGTCTGTAACAGGCATGGGTGTGGGCCCATGCACTGGAGCATAGACAGCCTACCAGTGGGCACACAAAGAAACATACCCTCCCTCCACAGTCATCGGGTGCCCAGGATCTAGAACAGCCTAGGAGACAGGCCTCTGGGCATGCCTGTGAGAGATTAACTATATTGGGTTAAATGAGATGGAAGCCCACCCTAACTGTAGGCGGCATCAGTCTATGGACCTGGGCCCTAGAATTAAAAGGAGGAAGTGGGCTGAGGAGCCGGCATTCATCTCTCGCTGCCTCCTTCCTGACTGTGGGAGCAATAGACCAGATGCCTCAGTCTCTTCCCTGGGGTGATGGGCTGTCAACTGTGACCCAGATTAAACCCTTTGCTCTCAACCTGCTTCTGTGAGAGCATTTTTATCACAGAGAAAGGAAAATTAACCAACTGGGGGATGGGGACACAGTTTCTCTCACAGATATACATGCCCATGTTTACATTTCAAATTAATTATTATTTGATTATTTTCTTTTAATTAGAGATCTCTTTTTCCAAACTGGACAGCTTTGGGGACAGCACACCAAACTGTTGAAAAGTGGGAGGGGAGCATTGGCCAGCCTCAGGGATGGGAGAGTTTTCTTCTGATTGAACCATATGACTTGTCCCTCACATGACAAAACTGTTTAACACAAATCTTATTTTTAAATTCAAAGCTGTCTACTTGGCTGAGAGAAGAATCCCTGCATTCTCTCCTCTGACTCCCTCTCCCTCTTCTCCCCTTCCTCTCTCTAATAGAAAGTTCTTTGTGGCTGAGGAGCCTGCCTGTGATCTACAAGGAAGGCTCGCCCCACCTTTGTCTGTCTTACTCTGAGGGAAGCACTGTCGCCCCACACACTGAGATTTGGAAAGTTTAATTTGTCGGCGGCAATTGTCTAGACAATAACATATAAGGCTTCAGTATAATTATTTTGCTTTAACTGTAATATTATCACTTTAAAAAATATTAAAAGTGTCCTAAAGGTTAAAAAAAATTAGTAACATCTGGTGCTTGTTCACCACAGCTCAATGCCTGCTCACACCAAAGGTGTCTCACCAGCTCTCAGTGGGCTCCATGCCTGCTCACACCACATGTCCTGCACCAGCTGGCAATGGCTCTCCACCCACAGCTGTTTCTGAGTAGAGAGCGTGAAGACTCATGCAGCCACAGACACTCTGCTTCTGGATAAGGATCTTGGTTTCCTCCTGGGCTGCCACACTGGCCTCTCTGGAGTCACCTGTGCAGACAGCGCCTGAGTCGTTCCAAGTCCCCACTGGACTAACTACCCTGCAGAAGCGATGAGGACGCCTCCTTCCTCTCGTTCCCATTAGTGTAGCACACGTTCCAAATTCCCACCAATGTTTTTTTAGATTTACCTTTTTGTAATTACCACAACTGGGGCCAAGGAAATGACTCTGTCAGTAAAGTGCTCACTGTACAAACCTGAGGGCTGAGTCTGACCCCCAGGACCCACCTAAAAAGGCCAAGCATGTGGTGTGTGAGCGTAGTCCTGATGTTGGGGAGGCAGAGAGGGATGGACTCCTGGGGTTTTATGGCCAGCCAGTCTAGCCTACTTCGTGAGATTCAGGCCAGTGTGAAAGCCTGTCTCAAACATCTAGATGGACAGGTAGTGAGAACAAGATCCAAGGTTGCCCTCTGCCTCTATGCACACACACACATGCATACACACACACACACCTGCACACACAGGAACTTGCACTCTGCCTCTATGCACACACACACACACACACACACACACACACACACACACACACACACAAAAGATATATAGATACATATAGATATATATTTTTTCTTT